GTGGAATGGAGTGAAGCGATACATGAGAACAAGAATAGGCACATTTTTCAACATTTCTTAATTTTTATATTAAAATCTGATTATTTTGTTTTTGCGAAATACTGACACCAAATTGAAGCACATGTCAAAATGTAAAACGCCACTAGCACCCACCAATAAACTCAATTTAACAATACTTTATTTACTAATTTGGCAAACAACATGATATTTTAAATTATACGTTTTATAATAACCGTCTCCCTGTTGACTGCTGATAAATGATGGTCAATACGAAAGAATGTTCTAATTTATAGAGCAGGATAATGTTTGGAAAGAATAATATTCAACTATTTTGTTTTGTTCAGTCAAAATCGAAAATGTTAGTGTTTCACTCCAGTTAGGATGTCATGCTTTGCATATGTAATGATGCGATTATTGTCGAATTATTTTCTTAACAATTCTTCATATATAAATGAAAATAATAAGCGAAAATACATTGTATTCCTTTTTATCATTCATCATGATGGATAATTAATGTATATATATATATAATTATTTCCTGTGGCAAGGCGTAGATAATCGTGAAGAAATACTTCCAGCTACATTTTGTAAGTAATGTATGTCGGATTATTATAATGGGTTCATATTTTTACTTTCGATTTTATGAATAATTTTTGGTTTATACCGTTTAAAGGTTCCTTGCTTTAATAGATATCTTCGTCAAAACGTCACAATTTAAGAAATAGTCTGACATTGATGCAAGCAACAACAATAATGCTAAATAACAACTCTGCGACAATAACGTTCGCACTTAGAGGATTGCATGTTAACTTTAAAAGGCTTTATGATAACCTGCCCAACACGCTATTTGATTGAGAGATGACACACAATTTATATGTTACATACAGCCTTCCATCCATCTTAATTAGTATTTATTGATTGATAAATGAGTCAAAATCACAAAGTTGAAGAAAATCAAGTACCCGGAAATTAAAATGAATTTAGCATAGATTGGTAAATTAGTCTACTCGTGAGAGAAATAATGTACGCTAATTAATGTAATTTATGATATAAAATAAGAAAATTATAAATTTTAAAGAAACATCATGAGCGTTCTCTTAAAACATTCCCACTTCAAAATGTATATGTATTATTAACATATATTTAACGACTTCACTTTTGCCTCAAATTGAAAATAAACGCGTTAATTAGTTCTACTAAATAAGACTGCTTAGGTCTTTAAAAGTTAGCTATAAGATGATTATAAAAAAAATGTTCGTATGTTTGAAAAGCATTTTGATGCAGTGGAAATATGTGTTATATATGAAATTTATAAATGCAATCATCTTATCATTAATTATAATCATAACAAAATTTGAAATCAAATGAATATATCTTTGTACAATTACACAATAACTTGTGTGTGTTATTTTCATCCGTCAAATGCATACTTTTCTCTTATTTGTTTATATAAATGTATTGTTATGTGTGAGTGTGTGTGTATTTATAATGGGAAGCTAACAACCTCATTCTGTAAAAATCAGCTGGAAGATGATTACTAAAACACAAATTCAGCTTCATGCAAGATCAATCCGTTACAAAATAAAACCCCAGTGTAAAATCAATTCATCTGCAAAGCTGATGAATGTGAATAAAAATACAATATCCACAAAAACGACACACACGCATTAAACTATTTTTATATCTATCAATTTATAAATGTATTGCATATTTACGTACCAACCTACCAAGTATACCTAAAAGCAATTCATTTACAAAATTATGTCATGTTAAGAAAATACATTTTGTACTAAATTTTTATTAATAGCTATTGATTTTTATTAGCAATTCATACCCTGTAAATTGAATTGTCTTGTAAAGATTCCCGTCGTCATTATTGAAACATATCATTGGTTCCGTTATAAGTTTGAAACAAAAAAAAATGGTTTCTAATATTCATATTTCAGTACAGTGTTGCGTTTTCCGTTTTATTTAGGTAATGTATTTAATATAACAGTGAACGTGGCTCCCGTCGACAAATGTAGATATTATATCGATCAACGAGGCTATATAAATTCCTACTGCTGCTCCTTAGTATTTCTCGTACACTTGGTATTGTTTCCAACTGAAATGAATAACGAGTATGTTAGTGCACACGTATACCGTAATACATTATAATATACCGAAGACAAAAAGAAAGTATTCTTAATTTTGCATTTAAATGCATATCAAGGTTATTTAAAGTAGGGGCATTATTTAATCGCTGATTATATTTCACACTTTTAAAACCTAATTCTCTTTATGCGATGACAAGTTATTGTCATTTCTCTCCACCTTCGTTGACGTTTATACATTTTAAGATGAATCTTAGTATTCGTGCTATCTCCATAACGCTATATCAATCATTGGAAAGTTACTTAAGCGGAATAATTAACCATCCCCCGAGTGTATTCCCTGTTAAATGTTATGGTTTAAGCTGTTATAAATGCGCCCTATTTGATATTTTATTTATATATTTCCTCGGCGTGGTAAATACATATTTGTAAACGAAAAATAGATATGAAGCATATAATTTTATGTAACAAGAAGAAAATGTGTAATGCATATATTAATTTTGTTTTATATTGATTTGCTCGTTGGTCATTAAGCACATACACATGTAGTGATAAAGAGACATTTCTCTGTTGCAATGTCTTTGTTTACGATCGTAGGTCCCTCAGTTAGTGAAATACTCATCAACATATCTGTTTCAATTCGAATCTCATTAATTGTAATTCTATTAAAGTATACATGCAGCCTTGCACAGTGTTATGCTAGCTGTTGACTTTTGTTAATGAGTTAAGAAAGATTTTCTGGCGATAAAAAGACTTCGAATACGTGTTTATATGCCTCAGTTTATGGTTCATTTAAAACCGGGATATCTTCTGGTCAGTGCAAGAGTCTGGCATGGGGAGTTCACAGAGTTTGAGAAGGAGGAACCGGAGTAAACACATGAAACAAGTTTGTACTAGTCATCAGCACTATCGGTTTACAGAACGTAGCTACCTAGTAATTTTTTGTCAGTCGACCTGATTTTTTTCCATAAAAACACTACGACTAACAATACATTAAGAAACAAATAACTATTTTTACGATATTTCTTAATGTAACAGCAGTGTGTGTTACGACTTTAAATTATATTTTAAATAAATGTGTTAGAAAAATGTAAAAGAGTTTAAGTATACGTAAGTTCAAGTGCATTATTGATATTTTTTTTATTTAGATGTCAAATTAGCAAACGTGCTTAATATAAATCAACCATTTGCATTTGTATACCTTCATAAACTGCCAACTGCATTATTCTTATGCTTGATTACCGAATGATAATGTGTAGGATAGCCGCTTGGAATTTCGGAGGGTGCGGTGTTATTTACATCAGTAACTATAATTTTACGTTTTAAAACCTGTGTAATTTTCTTTACTGGTTCAACTAAATATATCATAATTTATACTTTTGCTATCCTGGATCAAGCAGTTTTGCAAATAGAGTGATGCACTTCAGTATTTGAATTTTGTTGTTTATTTAACTGATCCAGTTTTTATATCCCACTAACATAACGTTAGTGTTTTGAGATTTCATCAAATATGTTATCTTACAGTTGGCATATAGCCTATGTTACAGAAAATATCTCATCTTTCAATGATATACTAAACGTACGTTTCTTTCCACTACTATCACCACTTATATAATAAGCTTTGGGTCAGAGTTGAGCGACGGTAACATGGTTGTGAGATCACAAACGTCAACATACGGGGACACCTTAGGATGTTTTCCCAACACATTTGAAATAAATAGCATAAACAAAACTAAATCCACCTAAACAAAGTGTCAGCACGCCTCATGTGATTGACGCAGAATTATTAAAAGATGCCTTTACTTGAATATTTATTAAACTCCAACACAATATAAAGTACTGATAAGCTATATATCGACAATGATCAATTACATTTCATTAATAATATATCAACATTTGCGGAAGGAAAATGCATCTGTATTGATTAGAAAGGAAATTAAATTGAAATTATTGTTTTTGTAAATATATTTACACAACAAATCACTTTCATTGAAAAACAGTTTAACCGACATCTGCAAACAGAAAATATCAGAATAATGTATTGCAGAAGTATGTAACTGAATAACTTATAAAACCGCGCAGAGTAGAAAATGAACAATGCATTCATAAACTGATATAACACAACATTCACAATGAAATCAAATATATTTTTTCGGTTAAACTACCTTTTGATATTTTTTCGAACTTAAAAAACGTTTCCCAAGCAAACCCGGACATTCATCAAACCTACCATTTATTGCGTAAGCAAATGTATTTAGAATTTTGGTATAGATCTATTTTAAAGTTAAATAATAACTTCTTCTCATGGTTAAATAGCGTTATATGATGGTAAATATGGATAAATTTATCCTTCTTTTTCAAACCATGGTCAGATAATCGTAAGTAGCAATATGGGAATGAATGTATGCTTATTTGGTTATATGGTTCCCGTAATTTTCAAATCTCAATATACCTGAAATATCTATTTGGTTTATATTTAATTGTCTGTAATGTACATTCGTTAATTTTTTACAGAATGTTCACATTGATCACTTATCAAATACATGAACAGAAAAATGTTATTTATCAGAAATGCCACAACGAAAATACTCTCTAACAAAACAATTTTTGCTATAACAAAGTTCACAGACACTAGTACAAAGAACAAAGAGAAATACAAAATGACTTATGGTTCGTAATTTATTACAAATGTAATGCGTACCACCAGCGCTGTTCACCACATCACTTAGTTTCGTATCTTAATAAATGTATAAGTTAAATATATTTACGATGTCGCATTACTATTATGATCGGCAAAGGGACATTTACAATGTAAATATATTTTGCTAACTGACATTGAAAAGATATAGCAATTGATTTAAAATAATATTGAGTTAATTATGAAAATAGAAATAATTTAACAAACTTATGACACTTTTAGTCTTTCTATACATGAATTGACATCAATTAATTATAATTAAATAGGTAAATTGAACAGAATTACTTAAATAATCTGTTCATAGAGAACAAAATAAATTTTGTTAGCGTTCAAAGGCAAAATTATTTCGTTTCCAAAATCCCAATAAATAACCTACCTTCTTTTTCCCACCATGTTGAAACATTTTTATTTCTCATTTAACCCGATAATAATAGCCCTCCTCCTGGCTTTTTGTAGTTTAACGACATAACATCGGACCGGTGCTACGGTAAAGAAATGACAAAAGTGGTAACAGGTATTAGTTCAAGTATACTCATTGTTCAAACAACAACCTAGTGATTTCGTCCTGAAAAAAGATAATCTAAATAGAAAATTATACACTTTGGACCAAGTATCAAAATGTTTCGGTAGTGCATAGGATTAAACGACTGGATGCAACCCATCTGGGGCATCAGGATGCAGGTGCAGTGAGGGATGAGTAAAACGGGTATGTTTCCTCCCTATATCAACTCAACAGCACGACTGATCAACCCTCGTATGAATACATTGGCTGCATCAAGGGATCTATTTCTTGAGGCGGAGTGTGAGGTTTTTTCACTCACTCATCCTCTTCCTGTCGATATACCGTTTCCCTGCGATACAACACAACGATTTCTTTTAAACATCTTTTACTAACACATCATTGATTTATGTCGTATTCATATGAATAGACAAAATGTATCGAGATAAATGGAAATAGGTTATACTATAATGTTTCCGATTAACAACATTTCTCGATCACAAATAAACAACATTAAAACTCAAAGGGGAGGTAGAGCTGTAAGCAGACACACACAGGCCGACTGTTCCTCGTAAATCACCTCTCCAATCCTTGCTATATCGGAGGAAACGTTCCGAGGATGTCAGTTAACACACAGACATAGTGATGACCGATACACAGGATTAAAAGATTGGCCACTCCATGCACTGACCTCTTTCAGGTATGTTTTCTCATCAATGTATTTTGTATAAGCTCACAAAACATGATGCACCATACTAATAGCGCATCAGAATGTGTATCCCGTGTTTTTCGTCTTCGTTATTCCAGAACAGACAATAGAAATATAAAGTTCCTGGAACTTCCTTCGAAATTGTGGCCACGTCTCGTGTGTAGAAGAGAGAAAATGAGATTGAACAATGCATTAAAAAGCAGTAGTTTACGGTAGAGACATTTTATGTATTTTGTACCCTTCAAAATTACTGTAGGCCCATTAAAGAAGAGAGGGCGGGCTTAGGTTTACGACGCAAGATGGAGGGTAGTTATAAAATGTTAAAACGACCTCAGGTCACCAGGCAGTACAGATTTAAAACAATTTGACATGTATCATCTGATTTTTCGTTTATGGGACTAGATATGACCATTTAATGTTCGATATTATCCAAGCCAGACATCCCATCGAATGGGTCGCCATTACACCAAGTATCAGCAAACTGCATGAATTTGTGGTTCACAAGTCCATTGTTTACAAACACCTTCAACCAGTAAACAATACAATTTATTTTAAATGTTTATTTTTTATCATTTATCAATTTTATAAAACAAATACCTTTGAATACTTTTATGTTTATGTCAAATAAATGATTTACATGGGTAGCACATTTGTTTGTTTTCATATCATAAACAGTATTAAGATTATACATGTTGCTTTTCTTTTAAATTTGCTTTTGATATTTAATTAAACAAAATCGAGCATGAATCTTTGTGTACAAACAGTCTACATTTATAAGGCTTAAATGTGTTGGCTTAAACCTAGACAGACTTTTTACCGAATAAGATTCTGATATAGAATATTAAAGACATGAATTGAACCAACATTAAAATGGCCTCTCAGTAAATTTAGAATAACATTCATTCACATTAAAGTTATAAATAGGTATAAATATTTATTTTTTAAGTATATAAATTAACCAAAATAACCTTACAATCAAAAGCATTTGTTTTTTAAGTAATTCAATTCCAAACACAAATAAATATCCAATGGTGTGACTAAATATTAATTATTAACATTAGTTTGCAGAAAGTAGCTAAATCAGATTAATATTTTTGGCCTTTACATTGATTTTAAAATTATAGACGAATATAATTAAATGTTTTTCATATACCTAAACAATGTATTTTTAGTTTTCAAAGTTTGTGTGTGTGTATTTTGTGAGACCTACAACAGGTGACGACGTCCATAGGACTATTACTATTCAGTATCTAAGCCTAGGGCAACACAAGTGTAAATGTCTTTTCTAATGGAATTTACGAGCACCATAGGTGGCAATAGAACCGGCGGGCTGGAAAGAAAGTCAACGAATCAAAGAAAATAAATTCAACCTAAGTCTAGAGACTGAAAAACACTACCTCCCAAATATTTACATAGATTCATTAAACCACGTGTGGTCATGGATGGGTCTGATTTCGAACCGTATTATGTACATGTATCACAATTGAAATTAAATGATATTTTCCAATTATATTCTGTTACAAACTATGAAATCATATGTCACAAATATAACATAAAATTGTGATATTAAACATTATTTTAGAGAATAACGTTTATTTGTAATAACACGATATTAATGATTTATTCGAGAGAGAGAAAATGTATATATATATGTATAACATATAAGGTTGTCTCAAAACTATTGCAAGGATGTTTACTATATAATATTATCTCTTAGAATAAAATTTATATACGTAGTAATTGTATTAAGATGTGTAAAATGTGTTTAGCATATGAATATATCATAATGAAACCATAATAAATTAGCAAATCATTTTAAGATAAAACTGTTTCTATTCATGGAATGCTTGTAAAGTTCAAATGTCAAATGTTCAAATGTTTTATTTCAAGTAAAGAAATGGTTACGATGGGACATTTCAAATGCATTCATTGGATAATTATTTTAGAAATATACAATGTAGGTAAACAGCTACAGAATTTTACAATAACTAGTATATCAAAACATAAATTGTAACATTACATTTTGATCAGATAAACATTTTTACATTTCACCGTATGCATTATAAAGTTTATCTAGTTCAGTATCGATCTATTTGCCAATAATGTATAAAGAGATTTACTAAGACCACAGCTGTATTTCAATGTATTGATTGACTGCCCTCTCGATTAACGTTCTACGATTTCCTCATGGGTGTCCCAATTACGCAGATGTGCTAATCTACGCATAATTTATGAATAACATTTTCAAATGTGTTATAAAATAATATTGTGTTACTGCACTATCGTTATGCTGATAGAAAATATAAGACAAACATCATGACAAATATATTATGTTATGATAGTTATTTTTATAAAACCAACATAAACCTAAATAACAATGATAAAAATGCATGTGGTGGAATTTATGGTTTTCAATTAAGAAGTATAGAAATTCAAAATATATTTTGATGTAGATTACTGACATTTCTTATAGTTTTCAATCTTGTAACAAAATAAGGCAATATATGTATGCAAAATGAAAACATCATTTTTAGTTTGGGAATTAAATAAAACCCATAATAAAAAAATCATAATATTAACAGCACTGAAAGGATACAAACGTTCGACTTAAGCCAGATCTTTGACTTAAAATCAAAAGAATTTCGGAGCTCGGCAGGTATCTGGTTTTCTTTGTAATTCACAACATATCACTCATGCGCAGTGGACTGAAACGTAAACATAGATGGTGAATTCAAATGTACTATATATAGATTAAAATACATTCTAAAGTTAGAGGGAGGGTAAGGGTTATGATGTGTGCATGTATCTCCTGATAGTATCTTCGATATCAAGTCTACCATTTACACAAGCCCTAAAACACATGTTGTAGTTTTTTGTTGTTATTCTTACAATACAAAACAAGCTCATACCCAAAAGTTTAAACGTGGATATTGTAAAATCTTAACATAAACATTATTTTCAAAATAGTTCTGTGTCAATTTATTATACGCCTAATGTGGCATAACAACATTAATAAAAAACATAATTGTATTAGTTTTAAGCAGTACAGAGTGTATGTATATGTAAATCAAAGAAAATGACAAATTGAAAAATGAGAAATAGTTGGTTTGAAATCGTGTTGTTTTTATTTTATGTAGGAAATGGAGTCGTCTAGTTAATATAATGATGTTCCTCATGTTGCATTACTTGTGATTATTATGAATTACTCTTCATGAAACGCAATGTTTTTGACAAACTATATCATGATATTTAATTTAGAAAGTGTAACATGAATCAGTCAATCTAGCACCTGAAGTCGTGTATCATATACATATAACTAGCTTATAATTAAACACTAGAACTTCAAGGAGTCTTGTTTTTTTAAATTTTAAATTAGTTCTCCTTGTTGACAACAAACCAGATACTGTGTGAGCAATTAAGAAAAAGAAAAACGGTAGAATGATGTAGCTTTACATTTTTGTCTAATTATTTTCCAACATTAAGTCTGCAAGTAACCATTTAAACGAACATTACTATTTTTGAATATTATTTATTTAATCTGTTTCATCAGTTTAAACGTTATTTTGTTTAATTTTATTTTGTTTCTAGTAGAAAGTAGAAGGAAAATATACAAGTGTCTTTTATACGGAATTAAAATGGCATTGTGTTTTTTGTAAAAATATTTGTTTATTGTTGATTGCGTGAAGATTTCTGATCAAAAACCAGTTTCGTGGAATTGGAAATACCAGAATGTTATATTTTTTATGGATTGATATTTAACTATAAAACATTTATGGAAGTTTCAAAACAGTTTTAATTTTAGTAAGTCTAGATATTTTCTTTTGGTTAAATATCGAGGTAAAACATCAAGTCCTTAATATAATTGAGTTGAAGCAATGCACAAATCTGTCAGTTAAATCATTGTAAAACATACCGAACAAAATACCTACAACAATGATTAAAGGAATTAGACAAATTTATATAATATGTTAAGTAGTCTTCTGGACTTCTAATACTGCCCTGCTGTTTTGTTTTGTTTTTATTGAAACGAGTAGAACATGCTAGTAACTTACATGTTTACATGGAATGATAACTATAAAGGTAATTGCTTCATATAGTATCGTCTTGACAATAACGAATGGTAATAGTTTACACAACAAAGTGTCGACTAGAAAAATAAAATAAATTGGACAAATGGCTTGTTTTAAATAGAAACATTATAAAGATAATGTATTTGTTTAACTGGTGTGTACATGATTAATTAAACACACACCAGTACACTCCAAATTCGATTATGCAAGTGTCCGTGCAAAAAGATTTGTGTGTTTACAAGATTATCTATAGTAACTCTCAACAGTATTGAGGCCATCTCTTTTAATGATTTGTTTCTGTAGCATTTAGCACTTGTGCTGTATTGATCTGCTTAATGTGATAACTAAAAAGGTCAGAAGCATGCTGTTTATTTAATTAAGGTAAATTTCCATAACACTCTTCAAACACAAACTAAAGATGTAATGCTTTATACTTCTTTGTGAAGGAACAACAGAAAATAAGCCTGTTTTAACTGCTGTGTGGGCTATAACCATATCAAAAGATATCTGCTAATGAATGTGTTCAGTGTAGGGATATTGAAACCTAACAAATCTGATTCCATGATTCTGTGCTTCATCCTTCAGGAAACTATAAATAAATAGCAACGTCAGAAAGATGTATTGGAATGTACCGTTAAATGACATTACAAGTCTGCACACACACATATATATATATGGCAGATACATATTTTTTTGTTTGTCGTTTGTTTTCATTTTTCCATAAATCCTTTTTTTCGTCTGGTCTTTGATGATGTTTTATGCCTTATAAAATACAGACGACGTTCCATATCAAAAGTTGGAAAATATTTTTGCATATATTTAAGTCTTTGATGTATAAATATTTACATTATAATACCTAGACAGTATTCATGTAATTCATGTCTTCCAATATATGTTGTATTTGAACGGCATATTACACAA